TGAAAAGTCTTAAGTTTTCCTTTTACCTGCTTTCTTTTCCTTTTACAGATTTCTATGAACTTTTCAATTTTTTTTCGTAAATTTTGCGTGACACCGGTTCTTTCCCATGTTTTCCTTTAAATTTTTGCGCGGGAAATTGGCGCGCGGCTGCCAAAAAATGTACCAATTTGCGCATGCCCGACGTTTGACCGCTGTGTTTGCATGTATATAATGTTGAATAGAGAGTTCATAATCATTCATTTTCAACTTTAAACTTCTACAGGTCTGAAACGTAAACGAAGTCACATCAATAACCTCAATGCAATCTTCAATTGAACGATGCAATATGTTGAAAATCCAGGCCAAATACAACTGACAGCTGCCTGTGATTGACCATGTAATTTACTTGTGATAATGACTGGCTGTCAATTTCTATTATTGTCTATCTTGTATTAAAGTGTTTTTCCTAATCTTAAAAATTTGCCATTCATCTCAAAGTAATTTCTCAGCTGAAAAAGAAAAAAAGCGATCATTCCGTGCATGTTTGAGGTGAAAAACATTAATGTAGAGTGTCGCGACGTGATAAAGTTTCCATATTTTCATGGCCCTGACGTTTTGACGTTAGTGTTTTGGCCACACAGTGGAAACGTGGATTGCCTGGGCTTTTTTCCTCTAAAAACGTGATCTCCTTTAAAAGTCTTAAGCTTTAAGTTGCTATGAAATGTAGTTTTCTGGCAGTTTTTTACACAATTACTTTGTGTTCATGCATGGGTCAAAGTGACGTCATTAAGATGATAACGTGATATGAGTTTTTCTTTTTTCGTGAAACGTGACTGTGGTTTGCGCGTTCACGAACATACAGAAAGTTCTCCCATCCAAAAGACATCAATTAGATAAGATTATCCGACAGTAAAGGCCTGTGAAGCAACTAGAGACGTACGTGTCGTATTTTCGTGCGCTGTACATAATCTGTTAAACAAACCAAACAAATACTTCACAAACATTTACACAGTATTCCTCATCTCCAAAAAACATCAATTAGCATAAGCCCAACTGGTAATGAATGCCTGCGAAGTCATTGGAGACGTGTCCTATATACGAGGGCTGCACATATCTGTATAAAAAGTCAAACAAATAATTCCCAGAAATTTGCACAGTGTTTCAGAAAGTCATATTTAAAAATATGCATAGAGTCAAAAATGGTTGGTGTACACTTGTGTGCAAAGTATAACTTTGAGTTTCCTTCCTGTGTGATAAAATGTATTTTCATTAGTAATGTTGAGCCATATAATCAGTGCACAAAAAAGCGAGCATTCCGATTCCAAACCTTTGGAGACCTACGCTAACACATCCTGACAGTCAATTTGGATAACTGGCGACAAAAATCATCTGAAATCTAACCTGGCTTCCCGTTTGATGGGTGTAAAGTGTTATCTGAGACATATCCCTTCCGCCGAGGCCGTTTTCCTATCGCATTGGCACCCGCATGTGGGTGAGTATAATTACTGAATAAATTATGTCCGGGTTTTAAACTCGTTTCCGAAAAAAGATACATACTGAGACTATGTTAAAACTACAACATCAAAGGGACATTTTTTTTAATGCTCCCTGAATGCTCCCAATTCAAACGTTTCTGTAGTCATGTCGGATTTCTGTCGCATCAGGAAAATTTAGCCGAAGGAAAATGGCAAGGATAGGAACAAACAGGCTAGGCTAGCTGACAAACCATCCGATTTCAATATACTTTTGGTTTCAGCGTGGCTTATTCCAATTACATATACATACGTTCATATCCAAGCAATTGAAGTTTTTTTTACTATTACTTCATTATAAACACAGTTGAAGCGAATGTACTTAAATTGGACAGGTTCGTGAGAAAAGGCAATTCAATTCGACTGTTTTTCATCCTAATTTTGCGAAAGTTACATCACTGTGATTGGCTGAGTGCAGGCCAAATTTTCGTTTATATTTAATTTTTATTGCAGTGCAATTTATGCGCGCGTTCGTAATTTTCTCAGTCATGTAACAAATGGGAAATTGTAAGAAAGCTCGAACAATTAACGATTTACACCCATGGTCGGCTATTTGAAAATTCTTTCAAATTGCTTTCGCTAAAAGGCCCGTGCAATTTTGAAAGAATTTTCAACTATCACTTGTACTTTAAATCCTTAATTACAATCGCATTCATACGATTGGTTATACTAATGGTTTCTATTCCGGACCTTTAGAGTGCTTTTCGATGACAACCAAATAGCGCGTTATGGCAGATCAACCACACTGCACGGGTGAGATATCGTCTTTTTCGGCTATAATCCTGGGAATTATCAATTCAGTTTCTGGACTAGCGGCTGTCTTTGGAAATCTTATAGTACTCATCACCGTTATCAAGAGCCCGTCACTTCATCAGCCATGTTATTATCTCCTGACATCTTTATCGACCATCGATCTCTTCGTCGGCATTGCAGTGAATCCTCTTTACATCATGTTAACTAACTTTGTTTCATGGCAATACAGAGAAGAGCATCTACTGCAGCTGGAGAGCTTTTTTGCCATGTCCAGCGCAATGATAATCATGCACACCTTAAGTGTAATGAGTATCGAGCGATACATCGCGGTCATTGACCCTTTGCGCTACTACAGTGTTGTTACAGTAAAGCGAAGCTGCATCTCAATCGTAATCGTCTGGGTATTTGGCTTCACGCTCAATTCCTTTTTCTTTGCGCTCTCAAATGAGGACTTGCCAAAACTTTGGATTATCTGCGGAATGCTCACTGGGCTTTCTCCCACGCTGGTTATTTTCTTCTGCTATGGAAAGATTTTCCTAGCAGCGCGCAGCCAGTCAAGAAGAATTGCTGTGGCAGAGCGCAATGTGTCGGCCGTTTCACGAGACGAGGAAGGGGCAGTGACTAACACAGGAACAACTTGTTCAGTGGAGGCCAAACGAACCAAGAAGACAGCTTGGACGGTTGCCATTGTTGTTGTTGTAGCAATTGCTCTTTCCATGCCAGTGAGCGTTGTCAGCGTTTTGCAGATTGCCACGACTGATTTGTGTCGTCGCAGGCAGTACAATCGAGCCTGGATGTGGGCCGCCACATTGTCCCTCACAAGCTCAGCAATGGATCCGTGGATCTATGCATTGAGAATTCGGGAGTTCAGGGCTTTTTTCAAACGAGCGCTGTGCATTTAGTGACATTTATTGAGTAAAAAATGAACTTGATGACAGCAGCAAAATATTAGCCAGGCGAATGGTAAAAATATCAAGCCCGAACAGAATTTTAATTCAGAGAAACTGGTTAAATTCAATTTCGGGCTTCTTCCTAACATGCGTACAGGTGTTCGGACGAAGGGCATATTATTGAACACCGCTCATGTTACATGAGGCTTCGTCCCTCAGGGTAAACAACATACGTTTACGTTTAATTTAAAGTCGCCTTTTTTCAAATAATAGGAAAAAAATACAAACTGTAGCTTGCAACCAATTCACTATAAAGAAAGCTATACGGCATTAACAACGCTGAAAAAGTAATTGATTTTTTTTTTTCCATTTTACCGGTAACGATCAAGTCAGTTTATTGTTATGCTGATGTTAGTTTAGACAGATATCATTAAGAAATGTAAATGACTAATGTGAATATCAGTCAATCCATCAAATGCATGAGCTATATGTTAGTTTTGTAACGTATGTATTCAGTAGTATAGTGTATTAAAGTTGGGTTGGAAAGCGATTTAATATTTGTATTTAAGCAGCGGTTAGTGTAAATACACCGCTAAAGATTGTGCTATGTATTGAATAAAAAAAGGAGACGACAATGGAAAATAAAATAATGGCGGAACTGAAGTTTGGATGCTTATTTAACTTTTTTGGAGCAATGAAGTGGACTTCCAAAATTTCCGATCATGCAAAAAAAAAATAAAATTGATATGGAGGCAACTGGCAATGTACATGCATACTGTTAGTTTAAGCGCACATCGTGATTACTTTGCAAAACAAAACTCTAAAAAAATTATTAAAACTGATATTAACGATTTTTGACATTTAAACATCCATTTGTGACTGTCCACCATCAGTAATGTAAATTAAGGCAAAGAAAAGCATGTCTTTGTGATATATGAATGCGAATTTAAACTGAAACGATCGGTCGTACCAAAGAAAATTACGAGCTTTTTTGTCAGAAAAAAGTAAGGCAAAATTAGTTCGGCGTGCGCTCGCTTGAAGTGCTTCAGTTAAGCCCTAATGGACAAAGACACCAGGCAAATCTATGTCTTATCTGACCTCAAACGAAAAGTCTGAAAGACACTGAAATATGCCTGAGTGTGTTAAAAGCCAGCGCTTGCAATGAAACTGAAAAATCCCGACATAGCACTATACAGTTAACTTGCATCACTTTCGAAACAAATGATTTAAGATTCGTCGAAAGCTGAGTTAATAAACACAAATATTAACTGGAAGGAAGCATCTCCGTGAAAAAGGCAAACATCAAATAGCACCCAGAGCCTTCAAGATTTGATGAATTTATAAGTTTTGATCTTGCTTGCAAAATACAGTTACTTAATTAAAGCTGTACTACATCACAACTTAATTCAACATACATACAAGTCATACAGATTTACAGAGTAGCTAAGAAGCTAATATCGTGGAGAAAAATAACATTTAAATATAAAAACAAACAATTGTGTAGATTTTCGCTTATTTATTTCCCAAACCACTGAATATTCATTTCTAATGGGAGGCTGACCAGCTGCTTTTCTTTTGTGCAACAAAGTTGAAGCACAAATTCTGGTCGTCCGAAAACAAATGTCCGACCTTATTTCAGCCAGGCGTTTTGATTTAATAGCATGTTTATGTTGTTTATTTGCTAAGGCATTTAAGATCAATTCCAAGCAAGTATGCTTTCTTCCTGGTTTTACGCTGATTTAAAATAAAATCCATAGAAAGAAATAATAAATAATTATTTGACTAAAGTGTCTGAAACACCGTGATTACGAGGATTATTTCCTAATCTCATTATCATGATTTTCAAAGTAAGGGTGCGAAGTACATCGATTAAAAGTTAATCATTTCCCCGAGAAGGTCGTTAAAACTGTTATTTTTAAAGGCAAAGTAACAATTTCATATTCCCCGTTTCCAAAGTCCCTAGGACTACTCACTTACAATTTTCCCCTGCGTCTACATCGAGAGAGAGACTGGCAATGAGCCACGCACCCCTTATGGCGCGCGGGCCGCCCCGCATTCTTTCTCTTCTCTTCTAGCAAGGTAAGATGGCGGACATCATCTCTTGATCGAACCACGTGTACTTATGTTGTACAGCTTTGATAGGGAATAAAAAGGCCATCTAACTCCTCCTTTTCTTATCGTGAGCTAGAGTGTGGGTTTTTCGTTCCAGATGCCTGGTGGTGTGACAGTAAAAGACGTTTGTCCTCACGAATTCATCAGGGCTTTGGCAGCCCATCTGAAGAAGTAAGAAGTTTGTTAAAGTGTTTTGTAATCGTGGTTTTGAAGATCGCCCAACGATTCAACTTTGTTCTTTATACATTTTACTTTATTTTCGAAACTGTCTTCAGATAATGTTTGAAAGAGATCATATTAAATCGACTCTTGTTCGCGTTCGAAGCAACAAATAAATAGCTTAAGCTTAAATCAAGTCGAAGATAATTTAAGCTTACGCTGTTATAAACTGACAAAAGTAATGTTTCGTAAACTGTATAAAGCTTTAGAATGTTGTTAGGTAACTACTGCTTCAGAATGTTGTTAGGTAGCTGATCGAAATCGTTATGAGATTTAACGTGTTCATGTTGTTTAGCAACTGGGACTTGATGAGATAACTCTATCGCAATGATAACAGGCTCACAGAACCCCACAAGGACTAGATAAGGGCTGTTAATTCATAATACCTGTTTTTGCTGAGCATGCTTGATAGGCCTTTGATGTAGCTTGTGAACTCACCTGTTGATGGTATAATCCCAGTGTACCTAATCAATGAAAATTGATCATTGCTTACCAATCGATATTATCAATGTAGTCGTTAATAGTAAGTGAAGTACAGTGCCGGTCAAAGGGACTGCAGCATTACACACGTGTTAAATGCGTGTACTACAGGCACATTACACACAGTGTCCATGCACCTTACACGCACCTTACACGCAATTACACGAAAATGCGTGTAATTACACGCGTGTAACTACACACAGTGAACATGATATTGCATGTAAAATTACTCGCAGTCGTTCAACTGGAACTCATTAAGTGCGTGTATGAGAACAAAATATTAAAAGTGCATTTAATGAAAACAAAACATTTACCATGTGACATTTACCGTACTGGACTGCACAGCGATACAGTTTAGTCTTTCGCCTTCTTGCTTCTGGTCATCAAACATTTCTGATAGAATCAACCAGTTTCCTTAAACCAGCTTACTGCTTTACAGTGAAAGTATTTTTCCTCTGTAGTTTCAACAAGCGGCGCCAGCAGCGGGGAGGCATGCTTAAGCTAGGATTCACTGAGATAACAGAACATAAAAATATAATGACACTCAATTTTAAATTACAGCAATCAGTGTACTTTAGATCAATCTGAAGATTCATTAAAAATAGTGCTCCGAAGTATTCGGACTTAACCGGTGTTCAACAGCTTTTCCCGTTATGTTTTTTTTTTCTTTTCGTGAGAAACAACAAGGCTGCCAGCGACTGACAAAGTGAGGCTTGATGGATACGAAATAACAGCAAACCACAATATTTCACTTGAGATTTTCAGTTAATTTTTAAACATCAGTTATACTTCTTTAAGTGTAAAAAGCCGTAAAAGATTCATCATTAATAGCTCAGAAACAAATGTTCTCCATATGAAAACATTGTTTTGATCTGATAGAAATGAAATTCGATCTGCTTCTTGAAAAGCGTTGCCTAGCACGTGACCAAAATCTACTCCAGGCAGAAATCCTGTGCAGTGTGAGAGTTCTTTTGAAATCATTTACTTCTTCGTTTTATTCCATGCACGAATACATATACAGACACGCAATGATCTGTCAACCAGACTTAACCCACGGATGAAAATGCCAATGTTTTTCTCAAACTTAGCTTATCGGTAGTCTGAGTGAAGTGTATTGTAATTTAAGCCGAATGATCGACCAAACCGGGTGTAAACATTGCGGGTTTACACACCAATATGATGAATTGAAAATTAATGAATTCGCTTAGATTTTGTTTAAAAAAATTTCGATTCTTCGCTATTTAAGATTAAGAGAGAATCCGCGAGTTTCTGTTTGAATCCCTATTTCATTGTCATCGAAGGAACAGGAGTTGAAAATGACATTTCTTGCGTGGGTAACATTACCCGTACGTTGTACATGTTTTAACGTAAACGAAAGCCCAGAGATCTTAAGCAGAAGTGCGGGCTGCTACAGATTAAGAAAGAGTATTTGTTTGGTAGGTGCCCAAGCTAGTCCATTAATTTAGCAATGCTTGTCGGCTTTTAAATTTACTTTTTGTTGTGAACATTGAAAGTCGCGCGTTTCGAATACAAGTTAGTAGTGGCTTTTTGTTTTGCACAATACACACAACTGCGTGTATGAATAACAGAGGTTTCTTGCTCCAATTAAAATACACGCATTTGCGTGAAATTACACGCAAATGCATGTAACTACCAGATTAGTAAATTTTACACTGTGTAATTACACGCACCTTACACGCACTGTCTACGCACTGTCCACGAATACCACACGCAGACTACACGCATTTTACGCGTGTGTAGGTGCTGCAATCCCTTTGACCAGTACTGTATTATCGATTGGCCGATGAAAATCTTTAGTCACAATAGAAAACCTCGTAATTTCTAACAATTCTTATGAATGATTGACAAGCAATTTATCATAAGTTATTGATAACATTTTTTGAAAGAGGATGTTTAGTCCTGGATGTAGTTCAGTTCTGCAGTGGAACAGATAGCGTGGAATAATTCCATTAATTGAGTAATTGCTCTCAATTAATATAGGTTATATCGATTATCAATTTTCATTGATTGGGCAATTGTTGAACTAAGCATGCCAGGTATAATTTATTTTCAATTCAATCATTTATTTAGACATGTAACATGTGCCACAGCAAGTTTGATATGTGTGAAATGATCCATAGACAACCGTTGTTTTAATGCTCCATTAAAGTATTCCTTTTTTTTTCAAATTAGGGGTGGCAAGCTGAAGGTACCAGAATGGGTTGATCTGGTAAAAACAGCCAAAAGCAGGGAACTTGCTCCTTATGATCCAGATTGGTACTTCATCAGGGCAGGTGAGAGCACTTTGACACTGTGTGCACAGTCTCAAATTTTATTTTGGAAAATTATTTTGTAAAGTTTCCTTACTGTCAAGTTGTTAACTTTCAAGTAGTCAGTAAAACAACTCAGAACAGATGAGAAGTCTCCAAAAATTGTTGACAAACTGTACAGGGTTCGTACAGGTCCAGGAAAACCTGGAAAGTCCTGGAATTTTATTGTGGCATTTTCCAGGACTGGAAAGTCCTGGAAAAGGGCTACTGGTCCTGGAAAGTTCTGGAAATCTGTTAAACTCAAGGAAAAAAATATGAAATGTATGGCAGACAGTAAGGAGAATTACATTAAGATCTTGGGAGTGAAAGGGTTAATATGAATTTTAGAGTCCTGGAAAAATCAATCTGAGTCCTGGAAAAGTCCTTGAAATTTGTTTCTGAAAAAGAGTACGAACCCTGCTGTACTTGTAAACATTTAGAAGATAAAGTTGAACTTGGGGTTTCATTAAGAGACGGGCACCATACAGATTGACATGCTGTGTGAGGGACGATTTTGCCTGCCTTGTTTAACCATCTGTAGGAAAGTTTTTGTTTTAAAAATATTTCAGCTTAAAAAGTTTTGCCTGCCTGTGAAAACCAGTTGCCATCCTACTGAAAAGGTTAATGAAACTGGGCCTGTGAACTTGGCAGCAATGTTTTTTAGAATTGGTGAAAATGTAATGAAAATTATGTTACCTCGAAGCTTAATTGTACTTAGGCTTTGTTGCTCTTCTTTACAGTTACCTTTTTTCCCAAAAGCTTTTTGTGCAACTCATTTGCAAAGAATTTTTGGTATCCCTGAAGATACACGTAATTGAAGTTCCCAGGGTTCTCCCTTGTTTTCAGTACAACAGGTAAAAGAGCATTTTAAACCGGTAAAGCAATCAGTTGAATCGCAGCCTTGTTTATTAGGTCTGCTCTGTAAATTACATGGAATTGAAATTTGCCCCATTCTTGTCAGCTTCAGCTCTGACCTTAAATTAAACCTTTACAGATACAAGTTTTACGCTCATTGCTAAGTAGTTTGTGTGAGTATTAAATACAATACAAAAGATCAATGGTTGTCAGAACGTTCCTTGTGATTTTCTCATTGTTCCTGTCAGTTTATTTCGGCAGCAACACTTAAGAGCTAACATCGAAAGCAAAACCGGTTTTTTCTTAGCCTTTTTTTTAGACGCTTGGTCAACGTCTCAATACATAAATCATCAATAACTTGCTCTACTTTCTATCGGTATCCTGTCCCCTTATTGAACTGTTCACCAGAAGGAACATTTCAAAAACGGAAGGAACTAATAAAAACATTTTCTTAAAAAGACCTCCATCTAATATGCATTACAGTTTACTAATTTCACACTTTTGGCTTTAGATGTCAAATGAAATCAAACAGCATTTTCATTTTTGAGTGTTTTACTCGTTGTCTTAATTCTCTTGCCCTAAAGTCAGAGAAAAGGAGGCAAAAGCTACTTCCGGGGTATCCTCGCTGTGCTTACATGAATTGTCACTACAGAATCAGCAGTCCTCTCTCAAAACCAAACGAAATTTCTACATATTCGTTTTCATTCATGTTCTGGAAGGGTTTTATTTTCAAGGATTCTCTCAAAACGTTGTCTGAAAATAGATTTTAAACATTTTTGACCTGAATGTGGAGCATTTCGTGACAAAGATGAAGTTTTCGCTCACCACACGTGAATGTTGGTCAATTTAGCAACACCAGTTTTCTAAAGCCGATAGTTAGGTGGGAAGTTCATGGAACTGATTTTCCCACATTGCTTGCAAATCAAATACTTGCAACGTCTGAAATAACTTTACCTGTAACTGTTTCCATTCGTGTCTTCTTGCCATTACTGACGGAGAGAAATGAGAACAACGTTCGTTGTCGCTTCATCCTGAAACTGAACGTAAACAACTCCAATGCACGTGTGAAGAAATGACATCTGCCACGATGGAATGGTGGCAGAAAGTCCACCAAAAATTCGCGGATCTTGCCTCAAAGTTTGAACGCCACAGATAATACTTACAAACCATAGCCTGTGCAATTTATCTTTTAATCTGTTTATTTATTCTTTTACAAGGATAAAATACCGATTACGTCGATGAAACAACTATATTTGTTTTCTCTTACCTGTTGAATTTTCAAGAATTCCAAGGGATTTTAGGTGGTAATGAGTGGTGCTACAGGCGGTAAATTTTACCGGTTACCGCCTGAAAAGGAGAACACTGAGTTCCCTACCACTTTAATCTTTAATGGATTTGTGTTCAGTGACTGCGGTTTCAACTCCTCCTCATATTGTAAATAGCCAACTGGTTTGCCTGTAATATACCTAGATCAACTGCCCCAGAGAGGTGATATTGTACTTATGCATTTGTTTGTGGTGTTTTCAGCATCAATCCTTCGTCATGTGTACCTTCGTAATGGTATTGGTGTTGGTCACCTAACCCGCGTTTATGGAGGTATGGAATACAACACTGATTCTAATGTTTGCATTAAATTCACAGTTGAGGTATGCTCAACTGAGGAGATAGGGGAAAACTCCAAAGTGGCTTTAAACAGTTCTAGTCAGGGCTTGAATTTAGTGGTTCATTTATGTTATCCTGCAAATTATGTCAAGCCCTGTTTGATGTATGTAATTACTATTATTATTTATGATTCAGGCTAAGCTGCCCTTGACATTTACTGTGATATTGATTTATTAGCGACTGTTTTTGTGTTTGTGCAGGACGTAAGCGACGTGGTGTGAGGCCAAGCCACTTTGAGCGTAGTTCATCATCTGTTGCTCGCAATATTATGAAAGGCCTTGAACAACTGAAACTGATAGAGAAGGATAACAGTGGGTGAGTTTTGTGGCTCTTTAGCTCCTAAGATTGTGAGAACACAATTTGCTCAAATTCAATAAAATTTTGGTTACTTTTATTTGGTCACACATTAGTTTTCACGCATTAGTTTTATACAGACTCAAACATCAAAGCCTTGAAGCTTATTAACTAATACAGTATGAAGGTGCAGTCCAGTCTACCTAATAAACAAAGCTTTCATTTCAATCAAAACACTTCAGTCTGCAGACTTGAGAAAGGTTAAAGCCTCATTGTGCAGCATCTTAAAGTACTACATGCTCGAAAGGCGTAGTGGACTCTATTATATTTTCGTTGGTCGCATTGATTTTACCCACATTCACACAGTTTAAACTTACATTGTATTACTTGCATGTAAGCTTGGACTAAACAGTTAGAGACTTGAGGCTTGTTCTCATATGCTGCTGGTATATATTTAGTGTGACATTGTTGCCAGTATGCCTGTCATTGGCCAGAAGTCAATGTATTCTGGGCAAGCCCCGGGTTTATTTTTGATGCATCACCAACATACATGTACTCAAATAGGTGCAAATTGTGCAAAGATCAACTTGGATACATAAATTAATTGCCAGCTACTACCCACCCACTCATAGGGTTTTCAAAATTAGCCATTAAGTGTGTGTGACATGTGTGCTAGAAATCCACCAGAATGCACCTGAATGCAAAAAATTTTTGAAAATTTTTCATCACCTGCCCCCTAAGCAGGAGAAGGTAACGAACTATAGCATTCTTACACACCCGGCTGCCTTGATCGCGAGCAAGTAGTGCTCTACACTATAGTATTTCCTCCTGCTACTTTACTTCAATTTGAAAACCCTGAGATCAACTTGGCAGGCATGCCAGGGGACAATACTGGGGGCAGGTTGTGTTGCTGGCAATTGATTTTCCTATGTGCAGAAACAGTGTGCAGGTCAGTGCCAGCTTTTATTTGCCTGGCATGTTCTTGCCATACATGTATGAGAGCTGGGGGTTACCTCATTAATTTACACATAATTCTGGTAATTTTAGTGGCCGATCAATCACCAGTCAAGGACAGCGGGACTTGGACCGTATCGCTTGCCAGGTAAAATGACATTCTTGGTTCCATAAAATTATTATTGCACATCATTTCAGGAAATCCAAAAAGACAAAAAAAAAAAAACATTTTCAACCAGTTGCTTCTCTTGACCCCACCTTGGGCAAATGCCCTGACATGTTACTTCTTTGGACTGCAATAATAATATTGCTTGCAAATGGCATATGCATTGTAGTATTGTAGATAAGCTACCTTTCATTTGACTGGCCTTGATATGGCCTGCGGAAATTGCTCTCTGGACAGGTCAAACGTCAAGGGGAGTAGGGATGGCACAGTGGTGAGAGCGCTCGCCTCCCACCAACATGGGCTGGGTTAGATTCCAGCTAAGTGTCATACGTGTATGTGGGTTGAGTTTGTTGTTGGTTTTCGCCTATCTCTGAGGGTTTATCTCCAGGTTCTCTGGTATTCCTCCCATCGTAAAAACCAACATCTCCAAGTTCCAATTTGACCAGGATAGGGGACCTGCATGAAAACCAGCTAAGGCTGACATGGCTTCCTCTCTAAATATTGTACATTTGTTTATAATTTTATGTAAGGAATTTTTCCCTATTTTGATGGAAGGCATAGAGGAATTTGATATCAATCTGTGTAGGGTGCATGTTGTATAGAGGTTGTATGATGTATGGTTGTATGTTGTATGTGCATGCTGTATAAATATTAGACTATTTGCTTTTAAGACACAAAGCAACTTATGTGTTTGCAAGACTTAAGTTCAATGAACATTTCGTCCTGACAAATTTCTTTCGTTCTGTTTTCACAGGTTATGTCAAGTGCTTAAAACCAAAGCCAAAACATGTAAAATTTCAACAAAAAATAAAGAAATCTGTTTTACAGTGATTCAAGATGAACTTGCTGCGTATTTAATTTTTACTGAAAATGACAGCTATAAATGTATGTCAAGTGACAAGAAGCTGTCAGTCTGTCATAGTCTGTTACACTGTCAGATAACACTGTCAAATAACCCAACCTGAGTAAATGGATATCTTTCTTTCAGGCTACACAATAACTTGTATCAACACCTATTTTTTCGCTGTAAGCTGTCCATTACCGTGCCCCAACTTTTTATTCAGTACGTCTTACGCAGTCTACATAAAAATTGCCCTACGAGACAGCTGACAAGGTCTTCAGCAGCAGATATATCATATATGCAGTGTATTGAAACCAGAACTTGAAACAAAATGTGTTGACAGGTAGCAAGTATAGGATAACTTTAACCCCAACAGCCTTTAATCTGCTCTTGCCCTTCCAAGAAGCAGCATATAAGCTAAAACTATAGGAACAGGACAACTAATTCATACCTAAATATACAACAAATTTTATAACTATGGAGTGAAAAACAAAGAAAGGAAACGAACGCGTTTCACTCGCACGCCTTAAAGCACGTGCAAGCAGTGGTAGAGAAATAGACCCAATACGAGAGCCCGTTGAACAAATTTAGGATTTTTTTCTGTTGTACTGCAACTGTACAGTTGCATTACAAAGACACTCGAAAACAGCTCCAGTTTCTATGGACGGTCTTCCAGCGAGCTGGCGATAAACTCGGAACGAAGTTTGATCGATGATCACGCACGCATTGTTCAACGTCAAACACGCGAGGAGTTCACGCATCTCGCGGTATTCGCTCGAGCTTAGTGGATATCGAGCGAGGCATCCCTGAAAGATAAAACCCAGAAACTTCAGCTCGGCAGGAAACCATATCAGATTCCATTTCAACGAGTCAAAGGTTATCTGGAAGCTCTAAAACACGTAAGGTTTCAAAACATCTCTGGTTTATTTGGCATACGCTGCGTCCTTCGAGGTAAGTTGTGCTACGACTATTTCCACCTGGAGACGTGTTAGTACGTAGGTAAGCGAGATGTTCACTGATACATAGGTTTAAAGGCTTTATAGTCTATATTCACGTTTTTATAACTATATGAGAGCATTTGGCTGTGGACTGAAACAGGCTTTCCGCCGATTGGCAAGGTATGAACCACTTTTTCATTCGACGAAAATCATGTTTAGCAACTTTGTTTCGCGGAACCTTGGCCCAACTACTGGCCCTTGTTCAGTCCACATTCTATCATTTCACCCTCCCAGCATCCCCCTGGAATCCGAACTCCATACTCCTGAGGTTCCCCCCCCCCCCCCCCCCCCCCCC